GTGGTATGGCATCCGGTGCCCCCCCCCTGCAGCCCCTCTTTATTAAACTCCACCAACACATATTACGTACACACGTGCCGTTCCATGTTTGTTTTGCCACACTGAAGCTTTGGTTTTCCCCCTCCCGGCTGTTGATTTACGCCAAGAAGAAACAGAGATATGCATCTGTTTGTGGAGTTGTTACTTTTCGGGGGAAATGCAGCAGCAAACAAAAGGAGTGCATTGGGAGAGGCTTCTTCCCAGCAGCTCCCTGCCCCACATTGATCGGCGTGTGCACGGCTCTGCCCCACTGGGTGTGATATCACCGTTCAGGTGCCCATAAAAGGCAATTATTTGCCGAGTAAAGATTTGCAGATCACCTCTAATAACCGTAAATGAGCACAGTTTGTGTCTAATTAAAAGACATTCATCCTCATAAGAGACCCTACGGGTATAAGCTACCTATCATAGGAAAGAGCCTCTGTGAGTTGGTGACAGGAGGTGTTTTGGGGAATGATGCAATTTGCTGCGGCTGTGATCAGACAGCTGCTTTGCTGGGAGATTAATAGAGGGCAATGCAAGAAAAAAACCCAACCAGCCCACAAATCAATACAAAGCAAAGCTGAAGGCAGAGGCGGAAGGGCTGATCCTGCACAGATGAAGCAGCACTTCAGCATTTTGAGGCCACACTCAACTCTCACTGCCACCAGTTTGATTTGGAGCAGTTCCCTCCGCATTGGGGCTGCTGCTCCAGATTTGGGTGTTGAGCAGCAAGGAGAATCCTCCTGCAAAGGTGCTTATGGGAAAGCAGAGCTCATCCACAGAAGGCAAACGATCCTCAGAAGGTAGATGTGCATTTTCTATAGGGAAAGATCATAATGGAAAGGAAATTTCTCAAGCAGAAGGATTGAAAAATAAACTCATTCGCTCCCATTGGTTTCCTGCACTTTTCTGAACACGTTCCTGCTGTTTCCAGGTTGTATTTCAGCCAAACCAGAGCTGCTCCTTCTGCAACGGCAGTGCAATGCAGCCCCTTGTTTGCACAGCAGCCCTGAGCTCAACAGCTGGAAGGCCAAGCTGAGCAGGGATGCACAATGCATGGCGTCCACCTGCAATGCATGTCCTCCTGCTTGGCCTGAGGTCCTGGCCATGCTGCAGCCGTGAGTTCAGAATGGCCACAGCTCAGGAATTGCTCACACAGAGCTGTGCAGGAACCCTGGGGCTGAGTGTTGAGCAGCACACAGCTGTGCCCTCAACCAACACCCC